TTGGAATGGGTTACCTAGGGAGGTGGTGGAATCTCCTTCCTTAGAGATTGTTAAGGTCAGGCTTGACAAAGCCCTGGCTGGGATGATGTAGTTGGAGATTGGTCCTGCTTTGAGCAGGGGGTTGGACTAGATGACCTCCTGAGATCCCTTCCAACCCAGATATTCTATGAAAATGAGGAAATGGCAGAAGTACTAAATGACTTTTTAGTTTTAGTTTTCACCAAATAGGTTAGTGGCAAATGGGTGTCTAACAGAGTGAATGCCAGTGAAAATGAGGTAGGATCAGGGGCAGATTTCCAGCTACAGTAGGCACGTGCCTAGGGGCACCGGTGTTCTAGAGGTGCCTAAAAGTTAAGTGGGTTAAAAGTTTCATTTTTTTTTAATGGAAAACACAAGGTCAGCTATAGGCGGGAAGTGCTGAAGAGGTTGTGCTTAGGGGCGCATAAGGTGTAAATATGCCCCTTGGTGGGATCTGAGGATAAAATAGGGAAAGAACAAGTTAAAAAATTACTTAGACAACTTAGACCTCTTTAAGTCAGCAGGGCCTGGGAAATACATTCTAGAATACTCAAGGAGCTGACTGAAGAGATATCAGAGCCATTAGTGATTATCTTCGAAAACTCATGGAAGACAGGAGAGATTCCAGAGGACTGGAAGAGAGAAAATATATGCCCATCCATAAAAAGGGGAATAAGGACAACCTGGGGAATTACAGATCAGTCAACTTAACTTCAGTACCCAGAAAGATAATGGAGCAAATAATCAAGCAATCCATTTTGCAAACACCTAGAAGATAAGGTGATAAGTAACAGTCAGCATGAATTTGTCAGGTTTGACATGATTTGTTCTTGATTAATTCATGCTGCCTGTTACTTATCACCTTATTATCTTCTAGGTGTTTGCCCTGATAAGGCCTCCGCTGGAGTATTGTGTCCAGTTCTGGTCACAACATTTCAGGAAAGATGCAGACAAATTGGAGGAAGTCCAGAGGAGAGCAAAAAAATTTAAGTTCTAGAAAACATGACCTCTGAGGGAAGATTGAAAAAAACTGGGTTTGTTTAGTCTGGAGTAGAGAAGACCGAGGAGGGGACATGATAAGTTTTCAAGGATGTAAAAAGTTGTTATAAGGAGGAGGGAGAAACATTGTTCTCCTTAACCTCTGAGGATAGGACAAGAAGCAATGGGCTTAAATTGCAACAAGGGAGCTTTAGGTTGGACACTAGGAAAAACTTCTTAACAGTAAGGGTAGTTAAGCACTGGAACAAATTGCCTAGAGAGATTGTGGAATCTCTGTCACTGGAGGTTTTTAAGAACAGGTTAGACAAATACCTGTCAGGAATCGCCAACTTATTACGTAGCCCTGCCTTGAGTGCAGGGGACTGGACTAGATGACCTATTGAGGTTCCTTCCAATCCTACACTTCTCTGATATCTCATTGATTGGTGAGGTTACAGCCCTGAAGAATGGTCCTGGGAATCAGCTGCCCATATCCAAGCATCTGACCTTGTGGATGCCTTTTCATAAAACCGCCCGTACAAGCCTGGTTCAGCAGTTAGGGGTGCCCCTAAAGGGGGAAAGGTGATGTGAAGTCCTACAGGGAGAGGTCTGCGGGATGGTTCACCCCTCCATGCTGCGACCCTGTGGCCAAGGTAGGGTTGCATGCATTACCACATAGACCCTGTAGAGACAAACACCACAGGAAGTACTGCCTCAGAAGGCTGGACTGACAGCTTCCCTTGTGGTCTCTCTTGGGTCCAGGCACTCTATTTAAGCCCAGGAGTTGTTCCAGGAAGTGTCCATACAATAAGGTGGACTTCCTGCCAAGCATAGCAATGGACCTGCCTCTTGGCTTGCTCTCAGACTCCTTGTTTTTGATTCCAGCTCTGAACAGAAGCTGTTCCTGGCTTCTTACTGCCACTGCTTCAACTACTAGCCCTGACTGTTCAAGCTCCACTTGTATCAGTGAGGGGGGGTGGGCTCACAGCACTGTTCCATTATGGGAAGGCCTGATTGCCAACTGCTTCTATGCTAACTCATGTCTCCCTTTTGGGTCTGTAAAAGCCCCCTCCTTTCCTCTAATACTCACTGTAGCCTTTTGTAACCCACTGCACTGGGAGAGGCCATTGGTTTTCATGCTGTTTTGACCAAGAATGAGTGAAGAGAGTGGGTTAGGTTCCAGGTTAGGTTCCAGAAGGCTTTTACCTTCTCTACCTCCCCCTAGTGGTTAAAAGACTGCTTTCTCTGGGCATGGATTATGTGAAACACCCACACAACAGTCACTTGTTTAAAACAAGATTTATTAGATAAAGAGAAGCACATCAAAATAAAAGAAATGATTCATAGAATATACCGCATCCCTTAGCTTCATTAAAAGAGAAGAAAAGAAAATTGAACATGGTCCTGAAAGCAGGTCTTATCTGTGACCCAACCCTGGTCAAAACTGAGAGCCTTGCATGGCTGATTCTGGAGAGATACTCCCCTCCTAACCCAGACCAGTTTTCTCCAGCTACAGACACACAATTTAGGGATTGGTGAACAGCTGCATTGTCTAGGGGATGCGCCAGTGAGGATAAGAGGACACTTGCATGATGCTAATGGCGGTCTTTCAAATGCTTAACCACCAAACTCAAGTACAGCCTTGTGCAGTTTATTTGGTCTGGCTGTCTCCAGTTTATCCAGGCCTCTTACTGAAGGCTCCATCACTTTTCCATTGCTGCAAAGTATAAATTATTGATAGAACCCAGATGCTCCATCACAGAGATGAACTCAAAGACAGTCGAAACAGCCAAATTTTGACTTTTTTTGAACCAAAGCCATAAATCAGCCCCAAAGTGCATGACAACTAGCCAAACTTCAACAACACATGCACAAGACTTGGCAAATCCTGACCGAGTTTAGAAACAAAACCCTAATCCAGATTTGTTTTGCCTGGTTGAGAGTTTTATTACAAAACCAGCATACTGTTTTGATTGCCTTAAACAGAAATACAACATACAGAATGCAGTACAAGAAACAGTATTATTGAATGTCATGTCATTATTATATGGGAAAGGTTATCTGTAAATACTCTGCATAAAGATTTCAGTATTAGTAAAATACAATCTACTTCTCTATGATAGAGTTAAACCTCTATCGCAGCAACATTTAATGAGGGTTTAATTACTGTACTTTTCAGAGACTATTCAGTTAGAGTATCTGAGTTTGCAGCAGATGGGGCTTTAAGAACTCTACTCCATACACCACAGTTCTAGGAAAAGTCATAAAATGAAACTTGTTTGTAATTCGCCTTGGCCACTCCTGAAGGTCATTTGGAAATCACTAACACCAGGTCATCACTACCTGCTCTGCTTGCGCAGTAGATTGGGTAATAGCTGCCTGTATAGGCTTTCAGGCAAACAGACCTTGCCAGGTTGGCATTTTCTGAATTTTTATGGGCTGAGCTAAACAATCACTTCAAAAGGGTAAAAAATAAATAAATAAAGCAAATGGACAAACATTTTGGTTTATTGGAGAGCGTCACAGAGACAGCTCTTGGAGTATAATATACACTGTTGTTGGCTAATTTTGCTTGCCCATTAACAGCTATGGGTGGAGAAACCAAATAAAAATTATCAAACTGTATTGTTTAATAATTATATTTTAGTAGCATCCAGAGGTCCCAATCAGAACATGCAGAGCCACTGTGCTAGGTAGGTACTGTACAAACACATACAAAGACCTGTAGAAAGGCCCAGGTCCTCAAAGATATCAATGGTGGTGGGGCCATACAGTTGACAATCCAAACTCCCAGTCCTGCAAACATGCCTGATTTATGCATGGAAGTGGTCCCATCAATTTTAATGGAATTACTCGTGTGTGTCAACGTTTGTATGTGTGTAAGTGTTTGCAGGATCAACATCTATGGAGACAGCATGAATGTTGAGCCTATTCAGAGAGTCAGGTATAGCTGAATATCCACCAGACAATATTTGTCATGTCTGGAAATAGTCAGTGTGGAATTGAAGAGAGATTTGGAAAGTAAAACTTCTATTGAAATATCTTACCTGTATTGTGTTCAAAATCCTCTCAAATTTGTCTCCTGTCAAAGGTTGCCTGACCTATTATATAATATAAAATAAAATATACAGCTCTGAACAGCTATCTACTTATATTTTTAATGTAGTCCACATAGTTTTACAAGAAGTGATAAAACCAAGCAGAGCCTTCCTCACCACCTCTAAGGCTGAGATCTGAGAACAGAATTTGCTTAGATTGGCAACAACAGAAATCTAATAAGTACTATATCAGCAAAGCTCTTGCCGTGCTTACACACCAGTGGGGATCAAAGTCCAGTTTTACTGGATTAACTAAAACAAAATTAAGTATCAGCTGTCAAGTGAGCTGTAACAGGGTGGAAAACCAGCACCGTATAGCCTGGAGTACAAAATGTATCTAACAGGGTTTATTGCCATCCAACAATGCCAAAAATGCTTTTTAAATTAAATTTAAAAAATGTTTTGGGCAGCCATCTTTTAAAATAACTCAAAAGAGCTTCTTTCAGCCAAGGTTTTCCCTTGTGTATGTAGAGGGTCTGGTTGCTATAACAAGGCAAGGTTGAGAAAGTGAGATTTTGTAGATGACACTTCTCACATAGGACCTAATCCAAATGTGTTTCAGAGCAGAAGTACATGGGACTAATAATAAAGGGGGTTGGATTCCTTAGCAGCTTGGCACCTATGACTAGATGTTGCTGCTAGCCAGGGTAAGGAGAATCAAGGTGTGGTGTGCAGGGGACTGCACAGATGCATGACCAGAGACCATTGCATGCACCTTCCCCCAGTCTGAAAACCTTAGGGGGGATGGGCAGGTATTGTGTCTATTTTTGCCTGGGTTGGGGGGCGCAATCAAAAATTGTAACTCGGGGGGGGGGGCGGGTCAGCTCAAAAAGTTTAAAAAACTGCTGCCTGAATACCTCCAAATATATAATTAATAAATACAAATGCATGTTGTATTTTCTCTGAGCTCTTTAATCTTGAAGTTAAGACTTGTACCCAGATGTTACAAAGCTCTTACATTAGAAGTTCACTGGCTATTTAAAATAAAGAAAGGGTGACAACATGTAGTTAGGTCTTTGAACAACCCTGAAAAATGAAAACCTGTTTCTTTTATGCAACCACCGTTCCTTATGCATCAAAGTAAGCTGTTTAATTTGTTATTACCTGTGCACTGCTTATATTTTATTAGGGATGGACGTGAAGCTAATCATTGAATCCAAACATGCCCAAAGTTTGGAGTGGTTCAGAACCATATCAGAACTCTGACTTGGAAATCTATATTTTATGTACCAAGAATTTAGGTCTAGTATTTAAAATAATTGTTTTAAACATATATTTCCTTCCTCCCTCACCTCACATACACAACACTCACCATGCAACACACACAAACAACTGCTTCTTTGTCACAACATAAAAGAGAATAATAGAATATGAAAAAGTTGTCTGGGACATTTTTAGCTTAAAGTCTTTTCTTTATTGATTAGCACACACAATGTATTTGTATTTGTGATTGTTTAAATCATGCAGATATTTGTCTTACAAACCATTTGACCTCATATATGGTTGCAAATGATTGAAAATTACTTATAGTTGGAAATGTCTGCTTTGAGGTAAGAATTTAAAATAAATTCTACTGACCAAGGGTGAGCTAAGTATAGTGAATTAAGTTTTCAAGTTTTTGGGAAATAATATTAAAGATAACATTCTATACATATTGGCACATGGGATGCAGCCCATTCGCCTCATCTAAGGTTTGATCCTCTCTTTTGACGCACAGTATGCAGATTTATAATATCTGTGGCTGTGTAAGTACAGGAGCCCATTTTCTATTTCACACTATTCTATCTGCTCAGCAGAATGCAGGATTAAACTCTTTGAAAAAAATATATTTTCAAATAATTGCCATGGTTTAATCACGCAGCTGCCAGTGAGAATAAAGAAAATTGCATAACTAAATCCCCATTGCACTACTTTAAAAATATAACACTTTTGGCCAAAATACAAAATACGAAGAGCTAAAGTCGAGGTACAAAACTGCATGCACAACTGCACATCTTCTTGTGTGTATTCAAGTGACTGCATAAACAAGTCTTGTGTTTGTGCACACAAATGTTATTTGGGCACCTAAATAACTGCTTACGCATGGAATTGTGTATCTGCATAGGTCTCAATTGAACATGGGTGTTTGAATGTGATCATCAAGCCATTTCTTTTGAAAATGTGGAGCTTGATGTTTGTCCATTAGTTGCTATTACTCTCTACTATTTCTGTTTAAAGTAAATTCTTTCCAACATGAGAATTACAACTGGAGCATGAGTGAGAACAATATTAAATATGAGTGAGAACAATATTAAATATAATCAGAAAAGGCTGAGATTTGTTTTTCGTTTGTTACTGATCCATTCATAGTGAAGGTTATAGGATAATTTACAGGAAAAATATTTATAGGTTAATTACATAAAATAATTATACTGCACCAACAAAACACTACAAACAGAATATTTTAAAATCATATTAGGGCATGTACACATGTCAACTTACAAAGAGAATACTTGAAAATCTATGTGCTAAGGGAAATAAACATATCTCAACCTACTGAGTTAAGTGTTCAAAAGGCTGTTTGTCACTGCAGCATAAATCATTTCCTTAGTGCAAGACTTACCAAGTGTGTAAAAAGACACTGACTCCCTGAAAAAACTGCTTTTCTGCCCTAAAAATATCTGAATAATAAAGTGATAGCTGTGTTTCTCAAATAGCTTATTAGTTTTTGCTGAGTTTTGGAACGTATCAATTTATACAAGCTTAGTTTTAAAACTGTAAAAACACTCTAAAATCTGATTCAAATATGCTATCATTGGAAGACAGAACAGAAATAAAAACAAAAAACTGATCTGTACAAGTGAAAGAAGATGTTGATTTGATTCCCTCCCTCTGCACCACTGGAAGCATCCTTGTATGACAGTTTGGCACAATACCTATCCCCAAAAGCTATATTGCACTGACAGGTGCAAGATTACTTTAGTTGTTGAAGAATCACAGTGTTAAGTATATCTGCTTCTTGTAGTGTCAGACTTTCATCTGTTAGCTCTTTATTTGGAAATGTAGTCACAAGAACAAAGTCAGCTGCTGCAAATGCAGGATGGGACTGGATAATAAAGTCTCGAATATCCATAATCCTGTTGGAATAAATATAATGGTATTATATAAACACTGAAAATTACTAATGATTTAATTTATACAGGAATCAGCTGCCAACACCAGTAAAGGTAAAAAATTTGAATACTGCAAATACAGCATGCACTCCCACACCCCAGGTGAGTGCCCTATGCACCAGGCATTGACTATTCTGGAATGCATCTCTTTCCGGCTCTTTGCAACTACCTAAAATGTCACTGTTTTGTCCATATGCAGAATGGAAGTGTTTTTGAAACCTCAACAATTTTAACAGGACAGGAAATTTGTTTCCTGCACAGCTCTATTCCCAACCTGCCAGCATCACCATTATTTTAATTGGACTGAGCTTCAGCCAACTTGCTCTCAACCAAATACTGGGAAAGAAGAGAGGTTGTACTATTAATGTCTGCTAAAATAAAGAGCCCTAGCATTGCTAGTCCCTCTGCTCACTGATTGCACCACAGCCAAAACTGTCTCACTCTGCCCATCATAGCTCTCACATAAATGTAGAGCAGGAAATGTGACAACAGCATAACATTGCCAAACTTGGAACAAATGCACCCTTAGAACGGATAAGTAATTGCTTAACACCACACATCAACCAGCCAAACAAAAGTGCTTCTCAAAGCTATATCCAAACTAAAAACCCAGAATACGAGTATGTATGATGAAAGTTATATAAATTTAACAGTTACCAAATGCCTGAATCTGATCACCTCCAAAAGTGTTATTCTACATCTAGTGTTCCTCTACTGCAAACGTTCATAATTATTAACCTGCTTATACACTTTACTTGTTTTACCATCATTCTTGCTTTTTTATATGCCAGCTGCTATTTTAGTTCCTTTTCTATCTACTAGATACAAAACAATCTTACTGAAAGAAGCGTGGTTACTTGTATCTCTATGGCATTAGTTTACCTGTGTGTTTGATTGAATCTTTGTATCAAACGGCTTCCATCCGCTAGCCTAATCTGAATTTTAGTTGTTGCAATGGAGTCATCAATCAGAACAGTTGCATTAAGAATGGATTTATCCTCTTCTTCTGGGGAAGAAGGTGTACTGACAATTTCAGGTGTGAGGCTAAAGGATTGAAGTATAGGTGTTACTGAAAGAAAGCACAACTGAAAAGATGCATTCTAGAACATTTCTTATCTTTCTTTTCTATCTGAAACCAGTATCATGCACTGTATACTAATTGACTTGAGTATTGAAAAGTGTCAAAATTGTTTGCATTAATATATGGATAAGATTTTATATATGTGCATTTTAGTTACACAAGAAGATTTTCTCCATACATGAGATTTCTTGTACATTATTTTTTATATACAAGACTATTTCATGTAGGGATATAAATATTGTTTAGAAAGTTAACCGTTTAAACAATAAAAAATATTTCATTTAAATGGTTAACAGATTAAAGGGCCGGGGCTGGCGCAGGGATTAACGGTTAAGGTGGGTTAACCGGTAAAACTAATGCTTACAAGTTAACCGGTAAACATTTTACATCCCTAATTTAATGCACATCACTACTATAAAAGGGAAGGCTAATACAGTTGCATAATTTTATATATATGGAGAGAGGATCCTAAAACAACATTTTTGTGTATGTTAATACTAGAGCATGAAACAACATGTGCACGATTTTAATTTTATTCATTGTACCTTATGGGCCATATTTGGAGATAATGTAAGTGGTTATGTAAATTATACATTGGCAGTTGGCCCTAAGTGCTTCAGTTTATGCTTTCATACACCTTGTTGACTGTGCCTGCTACAACCTTTCTCAGTCTCTTCACCCTCTCAGGATATTATTTATGCTGATTTACTGATATTTAATTTACACCCACCATTTAAGTCACCTCTGAATTTGGCATTTTATGCACAAGAATGCGGATTAGTATAGGGATTGGTAAATCTATTGTAAAGATGGTGAAGGGAAGTGTTTTGGCTCTGGTTAGGTGTAGTCCAGGGTTTGATTTTGGGTTGGAGATTGCATCCTGGCCAGGATCTGAATCTGAGAGTGCTATAATCTCATGATAGAGAAGGGTGGAGTAGATAACATTAAAAAGAACAAAAGCTTTCAGAAACTGTAATGTTTACAGCTTGGACTATTTTTCACACACCTAGCAGCTGTGCTTTAATGAATGCACTAATGCCAAATTTATCTGCTTTCTACTTCTTCCCTCTTGGTCATCTAAGTCTGTATATAATTTAAACATTTATGTGATTTACATCACCTACATTTTCATTTGTTTTTAGTACTGATTCCTCTTTCCCTAGCCTCATATTCTAGGTTTGGCTAATTTACATTGCATACTCATTTGGAGTAAGGAATTATGCCCCATTTAATTTATGTGGAGATATACCTATCTCATAGAACTGGAAGGGATCCTGAAAGGTCATCGAGTCCAGCCCCCTGCCTTCACTAGCAGGACCAAGTACTGATTTTTGCCCCAGATCCCTAAGTGGCCCCCTCAAGGATTGAACTCACAACCCTGGGTTTTAGCAGGCCAATGCTCAAACCACTGAGCTATCCCTCCCCCCACTGTAAATGTAATAATGTAAATATTATTCAGCAATATGGTTATACTTAAAAGTTTAAAAATGATGCTTCGTTAAAGAAAACTTGGGAGACTGACCACTGTGTGACAAACAAGTTAGCCTTTTAATCACATACTCTCTAATGAATTTTGTATCTACTAGATTACCTTTTCCCACTGTTTATGGAGTTAAGACCTTAGGGGCCACAAAATCGGAAGTACATACAACTACATGCAGAAAAACAAACAATGCAATTGTGTGCCCAATTTCCATGCATAATTAATCAGTTTGCAAATGCCATCAAAATGTTTGTAAATGCAAATGGCCAAATCTGAATTCAACTGGCCCTTAGCAGCACATTTTCTTCATGTGTGCAACCCATCCATTTAGTGCTTGAGAAATTCCATGATTTTTTAAAAAGGCACTAAACATATGAAGAAATGTAAATTTACATACTACAAACTAAACTGTTTTGTATTAGAAATTAAGAGCTATTTATACATCCTTGAGTGATGAGATGCAAATTTTAGTAAGACTGGAAACTAACATCATTAGAACATAAAAAAAAATAAATAAATAAAATCTAAGGACAGCATAAAATCATTTTTTCTAATGTGGAGTATTCTACTACTTATATATAATATGTGTATCTACACACACACACACTGCACAAAATATGTAGGGAATACATGATGGTGTGGTACGGAAGGTTTTATCCGCATGAGTTTGGCATGGGCATATTGCTCAGAAGAGGTTAAGCCATGAGTTCTAAAACAAACATGCATGTCGTCCAGGGTTGAGAAAACTTTTATATCACAATGTGATACATTGTGCATGCGATTTTAAGCATAATGATCCAGATTCTCAGCTTGTGTCAACTGGCATCACTGTTCAAAATCAACAGAACTATGCAGATTTACACAAGTTAAGAATTTGGCCTTGTAAGGCCCTTTCATATCCCTCCATCTGGAAAACCAAATTCCTTTGTTACAATGAGTCCACAGTGTAAAGGGGTCAGAGGAAGCCAAAGATCATAAGCCACAGATCATCTGACAGTGACCTAAAATAGATTTTCAAGGGCAGGAAGAATGCTAGAAGCTGATAGTTTCTCCTTTCCAATGATATAAAACTTCTGATTCTAACTCTGCAGGGCTGAAAGATCACATTTTTTATGGAGAGAAAAGTTGTTACTGGCCTAGGACTAAATCTTGCCTCTCCAGGGCTTGGGCAGGTGTAATTTTGCAGGAAAGGAAGAGAAATCATTTGGCTGGAAGGTTAATATTTAAAAAAAATAAAAGCTATTTAAAACTGAGTAAGGGTTTGTGATATAAGATTAAGTCCAGGGAGATGGAAGATAAGTGAGGGGAGCAAAGACACAGGTTAAACAAATTTATAAAATAGTTCTGAAATGTATCACATGGAAACCACTTCCACATACATAACATATATGTACTATGCCCTCTACTTAGCAGGAAAGGAGAGCTAATGCATGACAACAAGAAGGCTGAGGTGTTTAATGCATAGTTTGCTTCAGTCGTCATTAAAGGTAAATTGCGATAAGATACTTTAAACAATATTAACTACAAGGGGAAGGAACACAAGCTAAAATAGGAAAAGAACAGGTTAAAAAATATTTAGATATGCTAGATATATTCAAGTAAGCAGGGCCTGATGAAATTCACCTTAGGAACTAGCTGAAGCAATCTCAGAACCATTAGTGATTATTTTTGAGAACTCATGGAGGATCAGTGAGGTCCCAGAGGACTGAACAAGGGTAAATATAGTACCTATCTTTAAAAAGGGGAACAAAGACAACCTGGGGAATTATAGACCAGTCAGCCTAACTTCAATACCTGGAAAGATACTGGAACAAATTATTAAACAATCAATTTGTAAGCATGTAGAGGATAATTGGGTTATAAGAAATAGCCAATTGTCAAGAACAAATCATACCAAACCAACCTAATTTCCTCCCTTGACAGGGTTACTAGACAAATGGACAGGGGGAAAGTAGTAGATGTAATATATCTTGATTTTAGTAAGGCTTTTGACACAGTCCCACGTGACGTTCTCAAAAGCAAAAAGGGAAATGTAGTCTAGATGAAATTACCATAAGGTGGATGCAAAACTGATTGAAACACTGTATTGAAGGAGTAGTTATCAGTGGTTTACTCTCAAAGTGGAGGGACATATCTAGTGTGGTCCACAGGGATTTATGATGGGTCCAGTACTAGTCAGTATTTTTATTAATGACTTGAGAGTATGCTTACAAAATTTGCAGGTAACTCCAAGCTGGGAGTGGCTGCTTGCACTTTGGAAGACAGGATTAGAATTAAAAAATGACCTTGACAAATTGGAGAATTGGTCTGAAATCACCAAGATGAAATTCAATAAAGACAAGTGCAAAGCACTACACTTAGGAAGGAAAAATCAAATGCACATATACAGAATGGGGAATAACTGGCATGGCATTAGTACTGCTGAAAAGGATCTGGGGGTTATACTGGATCACAAACTGAATGAGTCAACAATGTGATGCAGTTGTGAAAAAAGCTAATAATCATTCTGGGGTGTGTTAACAGGAATGTCATGTGTAAGACATGGGAGGTAATTCTCCCGCTCTACTCAGCATGGGTGAGGTCTCAGCTGGAGTACAGTGTCCAGTTCCGGGGGCCTCACTTTAGCAGAGATGTGGGCAAAATAGAGAGAGAGTCTAGAGGAGAGCAACAAAAATGATAAAAGGTTTAGAAAACTGGACCTATGAGGAAAGGTTAATAAAACTGGGACTGTTTAGTCTTGAGAAACGAAGACTGAGGGGGAGTGGGACCTGAAAACAGTCTTCAAATATGTTAAGGGCTGTTATAAAGCGCATGGTGATCAATTGTTTTCTAGGTCCACTGAAGGTAGAACAAGAAGTAACAGACTTAATCTGCTGCAAGGGAGATTTAGGTTAGATATTATGAAAAGCTAATTAGAAGGATAGTTAAGTACTGGAATAGGTTACCGACACAGGTTGTGGAATCCCCATCATTGGAGGTTTTTAACAGGTTAGACAAACACCCGTTTGGTATAATTGGTTCTGCCTCAGCACAGGTCCCTTACAGTCCTACATTTCTATGATTCTACAGCTAACACAAGTAATACTTTTATACTTGTCTAATTTTAAGAAGTACCCACCCAATTCCCTTCAAACTTAACTTAATTTACCCATTGACAATATACAAAAATTTCACTTGACATCATTTTACGGAAATCTGTAATGTAGAAATAGGTGTTTATAATGGAATATTTCCAGGAGGTTTAATTAGATCACCTCTCGCACACCTCTTCCTCCACTCATGCTTCAGTACTAAGATGATGGAATGGACTGTGCATGCACAATTGAGATGCCTGCTATATATTACTGCCTAATAAAATGTGTTGAACCATATATAAACAACACATTATTTAGTGTAGGTTCTGTGGTCTTTAGAGACTAAAGTACAAGTAGCTTTTCTAACACCACATTGCAGGTCCATTTATTTTTCTTAAAAGATTCA